TCACCTCCACTGCCGTCATCAGCTAAACCAAACCCCGAACCCTTTTCCTTCCCATCCCCAGCTTCCCAGCAGCAGACATTGCCACCAAACCTACCTGTCCCAGTCACCTCGGAGCCAGGGCAGGGGGAGAGCAAGCGGGGAAGGCACAGGAGAGCGCCAAACCCGGAGGGGACGGGAGGAGCAGGACCTGGAAGGCCCTGGGGACCTGGATCCACCCCGCCTGAGACCACAGCGCCAGCAGCCACCCCGTGCACAGAGGCACGTGGAAATGGCCCGAGCAGCAACCTTTTGCCATAAAAGAATCTCAAAATTAGCATGTGGAAAAAAAAATTAAAAAAAAATCAGTTGAACAGCTGTGCCTTTTTTGTGTGTGTTATCAACCTTTTTCCCATTTTGCAGTGGAGTCAGATTCCACATGGATTTCACACAGAAAAGCCCCAAATATCTGCAGTCTGCTTAGAAAGTGATCTGCGACTTGTTCCAGATGATTCCCCCTCTCCTCTAGCCCATCTGGTGCTGCACCCCTTGCCAAGACGCTCTCCTTGCGCAACGCGCGGGCTGGGAGCAGACGCTATTCAGCTCCCTGGCCGGTTCAACCTTGTTCCCCTTTTTTACACTATGGCACATTTTTGTGCAGCCTGCAACAACCAAATGAGAACATCTTTTCCAAGTGGTATTTCTTAATGACATTTGGAGAAAGGCTTTCAAGTAATGTGACATGAATTGCAAATTAAAGCCTCCTTAGCACACTTCCATGACTGTTTCCTCTATATACCTCTTTCAGTCTGTGTTTTCTTGATTGGAAGCAAGGAGAAATGGTTAAAACAAAGGGAGCAAGTACTTTGCTGCTCCCTCTCTCCTCCCTCCTTCCCTCCCTGTGATATTTTTATTTCTCTTCTTCCAAGTGCTTTGGACCAGGTCTCTGGCAGTATTCCTCCATCCTTGACTCACATCTAGAAAAGAGTTTTCTGGCAAGGCCCCCGCTCCTCGCTGGCTGGCTACTGTGTGCAAGGCCCCTGCCCTTCACGGATCACAGGCTTAGGCGCCTTGGGACTAGTGCTGGCCTCTCTGTTTGGCGCCAATGTCTCCTTTCCAGCCTCCTCACAAAAACAAATCGGAGTTTAAGCGACTTCTGTTAGTTCTCAATACAGTGCTCCCTTGTTTGTTTTATTTGCATGTCTATTCTTTCTTTCTGTTCCTAGCTCCAGCATAAGAAAGCTGGAAGAACACCACATTTGTCAGTTTATTACCTATTTTTGAGCTGGCTTGGTACAGAGGTAAAGGGAGCTAAGGAGGACATCATGTACACCAACACAAGGCCTACTGCTCCACTTATGCAAGACTGGCCCCAGAGTAAGTATGTCCAGAAACATGGTCCCTATTCCGTAGTGCTCTCCTTGGTTGTAAGTAGCTATGATATTGCTCTAAATTTCAATTCCTCTTGTGCAAAATCTCAGTAGAGCACAAGGAATGTGTGCTGACATCCTGTACAAGGGTGAGTCTTGAAGGATGGATCAATTCAACAAAGCAGCAAAATGACAGGCAGAACCTTAGAATAACCCTCAGCACAGGAGTGGTTATAACCACTGCACTTCCCCCACTGAAAACTGAAAAACTCAGAGAAAGTCCTAGAGTTAAATTCTTGAGGAAAGAAAAATAAAAGGTATTTGGCTTCAGGTTAACTAGATTATTTTGTTTGGCTAAAATGTCTCACTTTGTTTGTGGGTAAATTCAGTGTTCCTTAAATCACTTCAAAGAAGCAGATTAATTATGAAAAGGAAAATATTAACAGGAGACACAGCAATGCTTCATTAAAAAGAGTAGAAATAAAACATTTCAAAGTTTCTAAACATTGCCTGCTACTTCTCAGATAAAAATCAAGAACCAAACAATTGGCCTCATTGCCTTGGTGACTTTGAAACTGAACTCCTCCCACTTGCTTACTGATCTCAGGATTTATTCCACTTCCATCTAATTAACATGCAGTGGAAGTCATCTAACTTCCACCAGGAAGTCTCTGTTCTAGGATGGTGTTTAGGGTCTCCATAGCATATCTAGGCATCTGTAAAGTGATTCATCCTCCCTCTTGTAGGCACCTGCCCTCAGGTGGGATGAATTGCTCACTGAAAGTGCTCCCTTCCCAGCTGACTGAGAAGGAAAGAGGGACATATCATTTGCACTAAGCACTTGACTTTTAATGGCTAGGTTTAGATAAGATCAATTCCTCCTTTTGCTTTTTCTTTTATTCTTTTTTTTTTTTTGCTCAGATTTTTTTTTTCTTGTGTCCAGAATCCAGGCACATACCTTCAGGTAGTCAAGGTTACAGTCAGATCCACTTTCTAAATCAAAGGCTGTGAAGCTGTAGCTGAGTGTGTTCCCCATTGTAGTTTGGATGGTCCAGTTGCAATGTTCATTTAACGCATAATTGTTTGGATAATTTAAACTTTCCAAGATGCCATGGCTACGATTAACAGTCAGCACTTCATGGCAAACTGAAAGAAGTGAGAGATGATAATAAATTATAGTTGTGCAGTGCATCTTATCTCAAGACCTAAAAAAATTACTAATTAAAGCTACTGACACCATAACAAGATAAGATAGGGTACAGAAATCAGACAGAAAGAAAATTACAACATATGAAAGGATACGTTGCATTCATTTTAAGCAAAATCCAGACTTTTTGAAACTTAGTCTTTCATTTCTAATACATCCTTCTTTCCTGATCCTTTACAGACTCATCAGCCATTTTTTTAAATTGTTTTTGCCATTTTTGCCTGTTTTCTTTAGTTTTAAATGCATGTTTATTTTAAACACATGGTTCTTATTGATTTTTTAATTAATAATAGAAATGCGGTGTGTGGCTTACCTTTCTCCATCATTTTTAAACAATTTAGAGTGGGGGGTGGCTCAACGAAATAATAATAACAAAAAATCCCCAGCTAAAACAGCACCACTTTTACTGGATATTCTGACTCCAGGAATTGGAAGTGAGCAGGATATTCTTTAAGCAGGAGCCATTGTTTTTCTTTGTGAGTCATACAGTCAAGTCCTAACAGAGGAACTGGACACTGACCTGGGATAATGAGAGCTTAAACTGCAAATAAAATCAAAAAGAAACTACACTGGAGAAAGGGTGAAGCAACAACCATGGCACAAGGTCAGAGATTCTAATTTTCCTGACCCTGACTTTCACTAAAGGCAGAAAATGCCAATATGTCCGGGTGTACCAGGGAGCAGAGCAGACTAACATACAGAGAAGTGGGCAGGAGGCAGGGAGCGGCCAAGGCTGCTGTCTTGTGCAGCAAATCTGCAGGGTTTGAGCAGCAGAAATAGCCAAGATTCACTTGCAAAACTCTTCTGTTATCACTAGGGGTAATATGCCTGCCTCCTGCACAGTTCTGGGATTCTTTCAAATGATTTATGGAGCAGCAAAGTCTGTGTTTTTAGGAGTTCAGAATGCCCAAAATCTGCGGGTCAGGGTCAGGTGAAGTGGGGCTTGTATGCAGAGCTACACTGAAGCATGCAAGTGTTTGAAAGGACAGGATGAAGAGCATGAAATAGATTCTGAAGAATGAAAGATAGGGAAAAGCTGCTGCCCCCTGCTATCAGGCTTTTATTAGAAACACACCAGGCACAATGATGCCTTTAAAAGACAACCTAATGGCATGTTTTCCCTTGCAATGCTTTCCAAATCATCATCACCTCTCCATAGACACATAGATGCATCTGACATCTAAACATCCTTATTTTACACCACAACCTTGTACACATTTTTAGCCTTTGGGCAGGCAACTGAAAGTTATCTCTGGGGCATGTGCATCCTCAGGAATTAAATATGAATGTAAAATGCAGATCACATTATCTGATAGCTCAGGCTGTACATCCGAGTGGTTTGTAAGTGCTCTCCTGCTCTAATTAATGCATGGAAAAAGTTATTTGAATACATTGTGTTGACTTTGCAGTATGAAAAGTATGTGGTAGATGAATCTGTGATTTCTTTAAGTAATTAGGAAGCCAAAGCTTAATGCCTCTTCAGCCTTCTAAGTACTGCGTGTGCCACGTGTGCATGAGTATTTTTTCATTATCTATTTACTGTTGTTCAAAACCTAAGAAGGGGAACTTACAGTCTACAGACCTACAGCAATCTCTAACATTTGGGCTTGTCATCTTCAGAGTGCCCAAATATGCTTGTAATTCAACTGGTACATTGTGAAATTCCACACCATACTAGTATATTTTAGAGTGAAAGTAAACACTGGGATGATATTAAAATTTATGTCTGAGGACAAAAAAAAAATTCTTTATATACTGTCCTGCCAAATTTCATCATTCCAATGTTTCTCGGCAGAACTATTTTACAAAAAATCATGAGCAAGAAAAATGTGACCTTTACCACAAGATATTAAAAATGAAACTATTATTTGGAGTGTTCCAAGTAGGCTAAAAGCTCTCATGCATCTGCAACGAGCCGTGGTTGGCTCGTTGAGGGTGAAGCCCTGATCCATTGCCACCTGGCCTCTCAGCAGCTAGAAGAGCAGAAGAACCTTCTCTATCTGCCTATATCTCTCTGTCTAGAAAAAATGTCAGGCGTCTGGTCAGCAGAAGAGCAGGAACAGCCCAATCTGCTCTGTTACAGGCTTTCAACACTTGTTACTCTGGATAAACCTGGAGAAGAAAGTGCTGTTGATGCAAGTAACAGCAGCAGAGCCACTTCACCAGCTTTCCCCTCCATCACAGGTATCTCCTTTGGGTACTGATCATTTTTAGGACTCTGTGAGCTGTGACTGCAGCAGATTAAAGTATCTGGCTCAATAATATCAATATGTTGTATACGTGTCTTCCAAGGATGAATACTGCATTGTAGAAACATGTGCTCATATTTTCCTACTTACCCTGTTTGTATTTGGCAAGAAACCCTCCACCTTGCAAACTGCTGTCTGTCCTTAGTTTCACATACATGCTGTTTCCACTGGAGCGGACAGGTTGTGGTATCTGATTGCCACAGAATTTACCTAGCAGCTTGGCACTGCTGCTGTTACCATCAAACACCTTCAGAATAAAAAATTAAAAAAAAAAAAAAGGAGTGAAGGAGTGGAGAATTTCCTAGCAAGACAAATGTGCCGTTCCTACGCAAAATATAATCCTGGTGATTCTGCTTGTTACAGAATTTGAGAAACTAGAACTATTTCAACTTTGACAGCACAATCCCGAATACCTACTAAATCTCATAAAGCTGGTAGCACTACAAATCCAAGCAATTTCTCTCTGCCAAAATGTTTGTTTAGGTATTTTTTTCCCATTAAGTGCACAAGAGGTTAAACAGTATTTCTGTTAGAGGAACCTCACAGGCATCTCAGAAACAAGCAAATCAGAGGAACAGCAGGAAGCTAGTAATCAAATACTGGTGGATTTTGAAGGTCTTACTCACCCAAAGGAGGAAAACTGTACTCAACTTCACCTCTGATACAAATATTGAGATATTTATGCAAAAACTGGGACATGGATTTGGGGATTAACAATAGGGTTGTTGTCCCTATTGTGCCCTTTTTCTTGTAGTTTACGAAAACAACACACTCTATAGCCTTGATCTAACACAAAGCGAGAAGACAGATTCCTGCTTCGGTGGCCTGTGAGTCTAGCTGTAAATGCTTTTCTTACCTGTGTGCACACATACAGACCCTGCAGCCTGACTCTTCACTGCTCTCTGACACGGAGGTAGCAATTCAGGATGGAGCTTTCCTGTTCTGCGTCTGCTCACACATGAACACTGGGAAACCAGGACCGTGTGTCCTTCTCTCTATCTTTACATTTATTACACTCTACGTAGCTGCCCACTCCACAGCAAAGTGTACGTACTGCGAGGTAATCAAAGTTGCACTTTGTGTGATTCTCTAGATGGAACTGCTCAAACTGGATTTCGAATGGGGTCCCTTGGTTCCCCCTCAGCAACCAGTAGCACTCTGAGTTGTGATAATATGGCATAGGGTAGTTGGGAGACATAAAGATGCCAGATGGTGTTGTCAAAGTCCCACCACAACCTGAAAAGGGCAAAGAAACCATGCTAACATTTAACACATAGACATGATGGAAAAAATAATATAAGGAATAGACAGAAGTACTTCATCCTTAGCTAGAAATATTTAATCTAACTTGAAGAGTGTTTTCGTAATGTAGCTATTCTTCAAAACAGAAACCTTACTGAACCTCTCCATTGTATCTTTGGTTACCATTGATTTCCTAAACACAAGAGAAAGTTCATGTTACAGTGTATCTAGGAAATGGTATCTCTTCCCAATGGAGAAAAGAAAGTCCATGGATCGAGAAATATGTATCCTTGATCTAACAAACTTGAATATATAACGCTATGTAATTAGCAGAGAGATTTTAGGAGATGGATGTCAGAAAAGATGTGGTGAAAAGGGAAATTAATAGAAACAAAAGATCAAAAATTAGGTGGTTTTAAATTTGATGTGCTCATTTTACCTGCTGATGTACCATCCCAGTGTGCTGAAAATCCCTGTCGTGTGCCAAACACATCACTTACAAACTTTATCCACAGTTTGTTACCATGAGAGATTATAAGAGGAGGCAGATCTGTACCACAGTAGGTTCCAAGAGATGGGGAAGTTTCATAACCTCCATCTCTAGAACAAAAGAGAGGAAAATCTCTGAGTCAAAGATGGAGAGCAAGAGATATGGTAAGAAAGCATAAATTTGGGGATTCTTCCAGGACTGGGGGGTCTAATCTTGGCTTTTCATCTTCCATATAAATACAGCTTCTAAATCCTGGAGTCCTGCCACTTGCAGTAAGAAGTCCTACTGCTAGTAACTGCCAGCTGGGTATGACCAGTCGGCCTGTCCCAGGCCTCTCCATGCACTGAGAGACTCAGGAAGCATCTCGAGGCACAAGATGCTGCAGAGGCAGGAACTCACTGCCTCCTTTCCGTCTTCTGCAGGGTAGCAACCATAGCTGGAGCCAGGGGAATGTTACTGATCTGAATAAATAAGTTTGCCCCTTTTTACTGTTTAGCCAGGCCCCAAACAGATGAGATGACTTTTTCCTTCTTAAAAAAAAAGAATTTTTAAAAAAAGTTTAAATTTGTCGCCACACCAATAGCAACCCACATCTCAAAACTGATATGAATCATATCTTGAATTATTTTCTTGGCCTTTGCAAATGTCTCTATGACCAGCTATTTCCTGCCTTTTGATTAAAGAGTAGTCATATTTCCTAATTATGCAGGCAGGACACACATCCAATGTTCTGCTGTGCTACCTACACACATCTCACGTAAAAGGGCCAAGAAAAGATTGGTGCCAACCAGTTTATCAACTGCTCTATCATCTGAGGACAAGCACTTTCATATTATAAATATCCTACAGTTTATTAGGATAATAATAATTACATTTCTATTTATACTTAGGTGTCCCCTTAATATGTTTGTTAGGTAGACAATAATTCTTTCAGCTGTATATTCACTGGCTGTACTTGCTTTTGAGAGAAACTTCGCTTAGGCCATGCCACTCTTGCAGGCATTTTCCTTGCCATCCTCCCAGCTTAAACTGCTGGCTGAGATCTGCTGTATCAGCTTACTAGTGGTTGGGGAACTGTGCCCAAACCCTCCTCGCTTGCACCCTGGCCTCTCTCTGCAGCTGTGCTCAGATGTACGGTTTTCTTAGCTGACCGAATGCAGCTTATTGCAGGACACCCCAGGACAAGAAACCAAAGTGGCACCTCATCTGAGGCTTATTTGCCTACCCTGTTTAAGGATATTGGGTTTGACAGAACAACCTGTGGAAATCCAGTCATGCCAGCAGAACTGGGCTGAGTTACACTTAGTAAGGATCTGGCCCCATGTCCGTAAACCTAATCAAAGTCACTGAGCTCTTCACAGGGACACCAGCACTACAGCTGTGCAATAGCTGAGTGTTTTCAGTTTCTGAGCGAAAAGAAAACAGTTATAACTCAGGTCAACCCTTAATTAATGTTTTAACTGTTACAATAAAGTTAGGTTCAATATAATGCCTTTTTTAATGAAAAAGATAAAACATTTGAAAAATATTGAAGATTTGTATAACTTTCTCCAGCTTGTATGCACAGATGAAAACAACCAGCTTATTGAGCAGGAATTCAGTATCACAGTCCAGCTAATACTGCAACATCAGGAAAAGACATTTGTTTTGTTTTTAAGTGTGTGTGGGGGGGCTTAAATAGGAAAAAAAAAACCATCCAGAGTATCTGGTACGGTGTCTGTATCAGATAACATTGCACTGTGTTTTATATCACACTCATAGAGGTCACAGAAATTCATGGTAGATGCAGAGACACAAACCACACAGTAGTTCTGGAGATATGGTTCACCTAGGGCACTGGTTCAAGGGAGGGAAAAAAGGGGAGATTGGCACTCCAAAGTGCAAACCCCCTACAGCCACACACCTCGGAAAGAAAGCATACCTGGCACGGCTGTATTGTAAGCAGGCAGCTAATCTTCCTGCATGTATTGCTTTCTACCCCTTGCATTTGTCTCTGTCCTGTAAAATGTACCTCAGTTCAGCATGGCAAATTCCTAAATTTAATGATGATGCCCGCATAGTCAAAGGACACAGATTACGCATTTGTTCCTAGGGCTGCATCACAGGAGAGCTGCTGTTTAAAGGGTGTGGACAGAAAGTGCACAGAATGTGTCACCAAGCGAGCAATCAATCTCTTTGTGTCTGTGCTGAGGAACACAGTCAGAGCCAGGACATGGGAAGGCGTTTTGTCTAAGCAAAATGCACTCACTCTGGGGACTGCAATTTGTGGCAGGAAGGGGACAAAGGGACAGAATACAAGGAGGAAAAGGTGACATTTAATCTTCCCTAATAAGCCCTTTGCCCACCCTGTCAGCACAGGGGTACACTTAAAACTACAGCCTCTGCACAGGCTTAAGTGGATTTGGCCAGCTTCCGTGATTATCAGGAATAAGGACAAGAGCAATAATTAGGCTTGCCTGATTTCTACATAATCTTCTGTACAGCGTTGATTCCCCTCCAAGACGAAGTCGGTGAAGTTCAGCACAATTTGTCTGTTCATTCCCACTGTGATGCTGTACACACACTCTGTCCGGACAGGGTAGTTGCTGGGATAGTTTGGAGATGTCAGCACACCGGTTTCGCTACTGTACTGGTGTGAGCATACTGTAAAAAGAAAAGAAACATGTACATGGTGAGGTGACAATTCAGTATACTTGTAAACAAATCCACACTCCAGAGAGGTTTGCTGGTTGTGGAGGAACTTAATGTGCACACTAAGTTGGCAGGAAACCTGTTTTTCCAACTGACAGAGGAGCAAACATCCTGCACTCCTGTGGTTTGTAACTCAACTTGGACACATCCTACAGGAGAGTGTCATCACTGTGTACCATAAACAGAATCCTGATTTTGTACAGAGTTCCTTCATTTTGAGTTCATTTGCCTAGCTTTTACTAGAACACTATGTAATAAGAGCACAGTGTAAGAGTATTTGCAGCTACCTGAGTTGGCTGTGACCTAAAACTCAGGTAAGCACAAAAGGGAAACTGAAAAGAACGCCCTGATCAACGTGGGAAGCAGGATTCCTACTTTCTTCAAAGCATTGGTGCTGGAAACTGAATGTAGTCTCTAGCTTTTAGATACTGTGTTGTTCCTAGGCATTCCCCACAGTCAAACCCAGAAGATGAGGATTTTGTTTCTAAATCTCTTTTCCTGTTTTCTAGGCTATAATGACAGTCAGGTGGAAAACAATATAATCCCTGGACTTTGAGGACAAAGCAGTTTTACTTGAAGCCTTATAGTAAAATCAGTTACATTTGCTCTCCTGTGACCGCCAAAGAACCACCTTGACATTATGAGCTGGAAAGAAGAGAGTAGAGTAAGACAGAAACTAAGAAAAAAAAATAAAAAGAAGCTCTTTTGAAAGTCTAGGCATGTGGACTCAGAATAAAAATATCTGCTATGAAATGCTACTTGAACACATGACTTATTTTGGAGAGAACTATCTTAATGTGTTAGCCGATCCCAGGCCAAATAATCCTGCATAATCTGGCTGCAAAAAGGGCAAGGTGAAATGTGAGCCATGTGAGATGTTTCCAGTAGAAAAAGAGATTCTTGAAGCTGCTGTACAAAGTAATGGTGACACATCACCTGGAAAAATGTGCATAATCCTGGTTACTGATATGCTGGAAATCAAATTAACACAAGTACTGAGAGAAGTTACAGAAATGATGGGGAATTAGGAGAGTATCATGCAAAAGAGATTAGAAGAGGCTGGTTTATTTAGTTTAGCAAATGAAGGACAGAATGGAATACAGCTATCCTTACACAGGAAGCAGGAAGGAAGGAAGAGGAGATGGAGATAAACACCAAGAAGCATGAAACTGGAGCCCTCTGTCATTACAATACAAACTCCAAAGCTTACAAGCTCGCTATGAATACAGCTAAACTGAAATTAGAAGAAAGTTTCAGGAAGTGAAATTTTCTAGTGCAGTCTTCTCACCTGCATAACAGAAGCAAGAAGGGAAAAAGAAACACCTGCTTTTCAGATGTTGTTTGATTAATTTGATTAAAATGAGGATTACATCATAAAGGTCTTTGCCAAGGGAAAAAAAAAGAGGGATAAAGTTGAATTTGGTGACTCTGGAGGTTCATTCTGGTCTTCAGTTCCCTATATCAGATCCTACAGATTGACAGAATAAGAAATGAGTATAGATATCTTAAAGACTTTCTAACAAATAGGCAGGGTTACACTACTTTAAAAGTATGATTGCAAGAGGGAGCAGAATACTGTGCTTAACTTCAGATTTACTTAAACTGGCTCATGCAGATCTCTGAAATTTAATCTCTAACATCCCACAGCTGCAGTGTAATGACATTCACAATATCTTAATATGCATAAGAATTAGGGGGAAAGGATTAAATTACAGTTTAGACTCCATATTTAAGGCTGGTCATTTCCATGACTGTTCTTTACCTATTCTCAGTTTAACTACTAAAGCTTATTACTGTCAAAGATAAAGCGTTAGAAAGGGTATTTTCTACGCTCATCACACAGAAAGCCATTAAGAATTAGAACGAAAATGTGTACATATGTTTATTAGTTTACTAGAGTTGAATTTAATTAACTTCTGAGTTTCAAAGGGTGAGTGCCTAGCTCATGAACATTTAATTAAGGGAGGGTAGGAATACTGCTTTCTTACTCACACAGAGGCTGAGATTATTAATATTAGCCTTCAGCCTGCAGAATATTAAAATTGATGTACTAGATAAGGGCCTTTAGAGTACAATTAGCAACAAGAAAGCCAATTTATTTTTATCAGCTCTTTTAAGAACAATTTCCACGGGACTATCCAGGTTGTCCCCCTCTCCTAAAGTTTGCTTTCTTGGCAGTAATCCATATAAAAACTCAAATCCAAAGTGTGCTACTTTAAATCTGATGCTCCACACTTTGCATAACAACTTTCTTTATGAGCTAAGAGGAGAAATATATCAGAGGGAAAAAAAGACTGTCAGCACTGTCAGACTTCTGGCTACGGTGATATAAATGCAGTTGTAGACTGAGCACACGCTGCCATAACGATGAGGAAAAGCATAAACACATGCAAAGCACCTACATTTTGTCTCAGCTAACTCAGTTCTGGTAGCTGGATTCATTTGCATTGTTCTACATTTAGCAAGAGAGCTGGCACTCAGGTCACGAACGCGGCACATGAGGGTTCTCTGTATGGGGATGTGCTGGTACAGTGATAGTTCCTGCAGAGAAAAGTATTAGCAAAACTGGCAAGAAAAGGAACTCTGGACTCTTTGCCAAAGCTCATGCTGCAGTCTAACTCCATAATGTGATTGTTATATGCCTGGAAAAAAATATTAATCCAGTTTATGTTGAAGACACTTCATGAAAAGAAGAAAGCGTCAATTGTCCAGAACAATCAATCACACATCTTTCTTTGCCAGTATGTGAGTTTTCTGAAGCTATTCAATCTGCTTTCTGATTTTGGTATTGAATGTATTTGCTCTTCTGAAAAAAAAAGGCCATAAACGGCAGTAGCCTACTGTAATATAGCCAACAGTGGAGAAAAATGTCAGTTTTTGTACCACGCACTCAAGCTGCCACGCATAGCACAGAAAATTCAATCTATGATTTATCCCCATAAAGAGATATTCATCAGTTGCCACAATTCTAATTACTCAAAAATAAAGGAAAACTACAGTGTCATATGTAAAATGGCAGTTTTCTTTTGACCTTACTCTGCCAAAGGAAAACTCAGATCCACAACAATTAGCCCTTTATGTAACAGCAGGCATGTTTAGAGAAAAGGGAAGAAACTATCACATGCAGTATGACCCTCTCCACAGGCAATGGAAAAGCCCATGTGCACTTCAGGGCCTCCTGTTACGACTGCTGGCAGATACTGTCAGGCTTAATTTTGACCAAGAAGGCGGACAAAGGTCCTTTGTAGAGTGTTTCAGACCCAAACGCCTTAAAAATCCTCTCTACAGTTACTAACTCACTCAGTTATCGAGGAGGAAGACATGCACAACTATATATTGCCTTCAGTTAAACCCAGGGACCATCTTCTAAGTCCAGGGGTTCGCAAATGCTTTTTTCCCCCTTCATCGTTCTCAAATTCTGATTTTTCTGGTCAGCCATGGTCAATGATTTTAATACATCACAAAGCTAAGCTATCTAAAACCAAGTTACCCTTCTTGATTAATCACGTTATTCACAATTCAGGGTGATAAGCATGAAAAAAAAATAAATTTTGCCAAAGCCAGAGAAATACCAGCAAAAAAAAAAATCCAAAACAAAACCATCAGGAATTCAATCTGCCAAAAGCCTGAGAAAGGTTGACTGTCATTAACAAAAAGGACGAAAGTAGGCTTCTTAATATTTTTTTTATTTATTTTCAAATCCCAATTATTTGTTAAGAAGTCAAGGATAATAAAATACATATACAGACTCCAGTCCTACTCCTGTTGAAGAAATGAGGCCTGGATCTTTCAAGATGCTGAGCAGCACTTCTGGACCAGATTGAGCCCTTTCAAAGTTTTATCAATGATTTCACATGGGTTCTTGTGGTTCAGTCAGCCAAGATGGGCAAAAGGAAACCCTCCAATCTATCATAATACCTATGTATCTGTTGTGTCATTCAGCAATCTGGTCTTAGGCTAGCCTTGGACTCTAGGAATTAAATTCAAAGAGTAGGTTGGTTTCCAGGTGACTTTCTGCTCAAAAGACAGAAAGATGCCCAAGAAATATGGTTGGCTGCATCCTCAGTATACATATTTAAGTGGGTAATATACATTTTAAAGAACTGAACATCTTGCGGACATATTTGACTGGATGATTTCCACTCATTTTGCAATAGTCATTTGAGCTATTCACAGCCATTAGCCAGTAGCCTGCCAAACATTTTTTTTTTTTTGTGCCTTGCAGGCCATTGTCAGGGCTGTATCCCCTGCCTTTCAACTTACTTTCTCTTTGTCAAGGGAATATAGCCTTGCTATTATTTTCAGGCCATTTTTCAACTAATAAGTGCGTCACAGATAGATAAACTTTACTAACACAAAGATTGTATGCCAAAATGTATGGATAAGCAAAGTAGCCTCGTTTTACATAAGGCATTTTTTTCACTCCTGCTTACTCTTTTCTGTGTGTGTGTGATCATGCCTTCCATCTTCTCAATAGCTGATTCTCTGTAAAATAACTTCAGGCAAAGGCCTATTGAAACATCTAATATGAACCAGAACAGCTTTGACCAGTTCTGATATTGGTTACACTGTAGCTGGCTAAGAAAACATAGCTCAAAACAAGAACGATTCTTATTGCACAAGAAACATTATTAGAACCATACTTTTCTTAGAAGAAAATGAAAATAGGCAGCAGATGTAAAGAAAAAAAATCCATAGCTTGGTAAATCTCTCAGAAATGATTATGGTCAGCAATTTGCTACCTTCGTGTAACTGGATATATATAAAATGAGTATCAGGCTTAGAAATCTCACAGCACGAAGACTAAATTTGATATAATTTCAGAGGAGTGGCAAGTAGCTTCTTACAGCAAAGCCCATGTACACTTGTTTTCCTTCTCTCAGGCCACTTCAAAACACTTATTCTTGATCAAAACTGAATGCTAGCAAGCCAGTATCTATGACAGTTTTGTAGTACTACTGTGTTTATGCTGGGACTAAAAGAAACTAATCTCTGTAAACGAATCTCAGTTTCAACTTCTCTATGAGGTTATTATTTTCAGTTGCAGTAATAAATGTTACTTCGTCACACTTATGCAAACGGTAGTGGTTGATGCAGAAAACAAACAAACACGTTTATTCTAGACATCGCAGTTCTGAGTCTGAGTGGAAATAAATACAGTTAATTCTTACGTAATAGTTTTGCATATAGCCCCAATTTAGCTGAAGAATAGTAAAGAAAGATATAAGTACTTATGGGGAAAGAGACATTGTGGCCCTCAAACTGAATCTGCCGCTTAATGTTTGGATGAAAAAATTATGTAGCTCTTATTTTATATAAAAACTTTATTTAGTTTCTAGCTAATAAAAAATATTGAAGAGAAGACAGCCTTGCATTTTTAAAGCATCCTTTGAAATCATTCCAGGGATGATGTTTATGTAGTTAAAACCTTGCATGATGCCTATGGCAGTGCCTGCCCAAGGGATGAGAAAGGTCAGTCTGTGTTGTGGTAGAGAAGGAGAGGGGATGCAGAGTAATGAGGCTGAACAGAAAATAGCGTGAGCTCGCTAACGCACCAGCCAAACTGATGGGGTTGCACAGGGACAGAAAACAGGTTAATGCTGAGCAGAGAACCTGCTGGTCTTGCTAAAGTGTGAGAATAGCTGCTGCAGAAATTGTTAGGAAGGAATGACCTTTACTCAAGAAATATTAATTTAAGGTAAGCTAAAGGACAAAATATCACACTAACAAGCAGCAAAATCACTTTTAAAGAAGTTATGGCTAGCATTTGCAAAAACAGACCAACAAAATATCTTAGCCTCCTTTACAAGGCTAATAACTTCACAATTTCTCATTAGCAAGAATTCAGAGTTTTCAAAATATGGTCTTTATTGGAAAGATTTTTAAAAGAGGAATCTATTTTTGGCCTATTATTTTCTAACAAAGAGAATGTTCCTCCTTGGAATATGTTTCATTAAATCTTAATTGGTGTACTGACTTTGTGGTTTCATGCCAGATAACATCAGTATGAATGAAGGCAGCTGAGAAAAAGGATTATTTACATTTATAATTATCTGGTGGTAGGTAAAAACACAGTGGCAAAATCTGTACTGGTCTCTCCTACGCACATGCCTGAGATGGAATACCAGCCAAATTGTCCAGGCTAACACAGGAAGTTATTTTTCACAAGATATAGAAATTAGAAATTTTGCTGCTTTTAGATAAGCTGGAGAAACTCAGAAAGTATGAAAAATAAAATAGCTAAAGATATTACAGGCAAAAAATGAGCATGCCTCCCTTTGCCCGTGGGAGGCCTCTTTACCACAAATGGGCCTGTTCTGCAGAACTTTCAGATTAATTAGAATTCTGAGTAATTGCTCTGGTTGAAAGATCTGAGAGAATGAGTGGTCATTTTTCCTTTAACAATTGTTCTCCTGCTGACATATGTCTTCACCTCATAAAAGGAGATACTTAAGGAACAAATTTAAGCCATAACAGGAAGCTTGAACTCTGCTGGTGTCAGGAAAGTTGCATGCAGTCTTAATGAGAAAGAAAAAAAAAAAAAAAAGAAAAAGGTTTCTGCTCTCAGGTTATTTGCCCGCTTTTTTTTTTTTTTTTAATTTCACTATATGAGAACTTTCTTTGTCCATCATCAGTATTGCAACTAATATCATAATTTGTTCACTTCCTAGATCATGCATGCTCAGATCAGGCATGGCAAATTCAGGAAATACTTTTCCTCAGTACTTCATGCAGTTCTAAAGAAAGAAGTAGTGTTGCTTACAGAAATTGTTTTCTGCTTTGCTCATATTTCCCAGACAGGAAAAGGCTTGTGAATCAAGTAGCTATAATGAAGGGGTGGAAGAGGCACAAGGGCAGTCTTCTGCTAACACAGAAAATAACGTTTCTTTTTCTTATAGTGCTTATTCACAGTGACAGCTGAAAACACTTAGTTTGCATAATGAACATACTGACATGTTACCTTTTGATGCATCCAGGGAGATATAATTAGCTGAGAAGCCCTCAGAGGCAGTGCTATGATCACTCACAAAGTACAGCGTCATCGTGTTGCCACCACTAGTGAGTGATGGTGGAATTGATCTGCCACAGTACCTGCAACAAAAAAAAAAAGCCACATATTTATGCAAAGCTTCATGAAGCATCTGTTTTAATGGAAGAAGATACAGTTTTTCTGAGACGTTTCAACAGTTGCACACACACAAATGCCTTCTTTGGGTAGTACAGATCCCAGGCATATAGCCTGTAACATGGGATTAAATACTACACCGCATATACAAGGATATACATGTATCTTGCATGGCAAAACCAAAGGACCAGGTGTGCACCGAGTAGTTATTTTTTTATTAAAATATTGGTTTTTTATTTTCTAATGTAAAGAGTCCATGCCGCATCTATAACATATTCCACTTAAGCAGGAGTTAGAGTGACTGGCAAAAGATTAAGATTGCAAAATACTCTCCATTGTAGCATGACATCCATTTGCTCCTTATTAGACAAATATTAGCCAAATACTTGACAGTCTGTGGCTGCGGCTGCAGCTACACTCTGAGCCTAAGTAGTTTAGATGTTCCTGAGTTCCAGGATGGGAGCAACTCCAGTATATACCCTTCCTGGTGAGTGGGGGGAAGAAAGAAAAGATTGTTCAGCCTTTTCTGCCTTAGTATAAAATAACATAACAGGAGATAATGAAAACAAGTCTTCCAAGACAAAGACTTTGGTTTATTTTTTTTGCTGAAACTCCAATTTACAATCTTTCAAATAATCTTTCTTTCACTTCCACAAGTGTTTCAAAGCATGCCTTTTTCTAGGCACAGACATAGTAATGCTTTTAAAGCTATTCCAATAAATTAACATGCAAAAGGCACTGGACAGTGGCAGCTATTGAAACCTGTACTTAAAAAAGCTGCATTAGTTTCTCCCAATGTAATATTCCTAAATGTGGTGCTCACTCCATGTCTAAAGAAAGAAGTTGCATTTACTAGACTGTGCAGGAGCATTGCTCTTGTTCTTTCAGTAATACAAAGAAATTAATTTATATTCAAAAGCTGAGGAAGAAAAATGGATGGAGAGATCTACAGAGCAGTGCACACTTTACAACAAATCAGCTATTTAGCTAGTGGACATATTTACCTTCCCAATTTTTGCACAGTGCTGTTGTCATAGACTTCAAGATAATCCTTTCTGCAACTATAATCAAACTCCAAGTTAAATGAAGTGAACGTCAGGCGGATAAGGTAGCCAGGCTGAATGTTGATAGTCCAAGTACAGGTAATACCATGTGGGTAGATAGTTGGATGACCTGGACTTGTAATAGTTCCTTCTGCTTCAGTGAGAGCCTCCCCACATACTGCAGAGATTTAAAAGTTCAATTAAGTTATATTAAAAATGTATTCAGGAAAAAGGCACTTATAAAATCAGTTACTTTTATTTCTGAAATTCTGTAGCCATTTTTCCCTTGATACGCACAACACAGTAACTTTTGCGGAATTTATCTCCTATTACCCCTTTGTAAAACTTGATGGGACAGTGATTTCCACGTATAAAAACATTTGCTAAGTCACGTGCCTTTACGAAATCCTTACCTCTATCTAATGGCCAGTACTCAGCTCTGAAGCCAAGGTTGGTAAGAGAGGAAGCTCTGAATTTGACGTAGAGATAGTTCCGTGAAGACTGCACTTGAGATGGTACTGCTGTACCGCAGTATTTCTCCAGAAGAGGAGAGTCGGTGTTGTTGCCATCTCTGACCTGAAGAACAATGTATTCAAAATATCCCACACAGATTTCTACTGTATTGAAGTAGCAAGAATAAAGGAATTCATAAGAACAACATAAAAGAGGTCCTTAGCCCTGCCCTGTGTTCAGCGTCATTTGTACTACGGGCACATCCAGTGCAGCCTCATGACTGCCAGAGAAGGGCTCTCCCAGAGAAGGAGCATTCAGAAGAAGAGAAGTTGAGATCTTAGATCCTCAACAATAAGTATCATGCAGACCTCCAAAACCAGGCCTATCTACTCAAAGACATCTGATAGTCACCACCAATGTCTCTGATTATGAAAATGATGATATTATCCTCGGAAAACCACCCTCCTAAGAAAAGGTGAGGCCTCCTCTGATGAAGCTGGAAGCTGGAAGCTAAGTAAGCACTATAAAATGAGTGCTCATCTGTTAAACTGTGCATGCACTTGCAGTTCTGATTTGGTGGAGATGAGCATGAGAAGGAGCATATAGATATGTATCTCTAAGTAAATCATAGTATAAGTGTACTACTCTTTACCTCAACATAGTCTGAGTCACAAGTGGTTGTATTTCGAATGTCAAAGTCGGTGAAGTTAAGAATCACCACTTGGCCATCTGGCTGGGAGATGATCCACTCACAGGTCTTCAGGTAAGAGGACGTCCTGGGGTAGTAAGGTGAGTGGATGGTACCTGCTCCAGACAGGGAGCCTCCACAGGCTGCAAATAGGCACCAAGAGGCAATAGTTGTGATGAACCGTTTCCAGAAATGAATGTTTGATGTCCATCAAATATCACTATGAAGTTAGCAGAAAAACACTCCTACAAACCTATATTCTCACAGCATCTACTATTGGTCATCCAGGTAGTATTAAGAATGGATATAAAAGAACAAATTGCAGTTACAGTTGCATAAATATTTATATCTGAGCATGAAAGACCAAGGTAATTCCATCCATGAATATTTATGGATCTCACTCATTTGTTTCAGAGAACTGGGTATCATTGTTGATGAATAAGAGTTGAAGGAAAGGAATAATGAATGTAAACAGCTTTAGGCAGAGTTATGGTTATAGTGTTACATTATCTGAGATTTGTTAGTGATACTTAAGTGCAAGTAATTTATCATTAATAAAAGCAATAGTGAATGTATTTTCAAAGATGGTAGAAGTGCCTACAGCAGACCTATGGTAGACATCGCCTTAGCATTTCTGAAAAAGGCAATAAATAAACTAAATTTGTTTTAAATCGACTTCATGCATATCATAGAGTAGGAATGACTGAAAGTGTCCAAGTTAGTTACAGACCTGGCAAATCATTGGGCAAGCCACCAGTTACTCTTACCAACTTGATAAACAGCCCTGAAGCTAGCCCTTTGCGCAGAAGAATCAGACTTGAACTTGATCCAGAGACTGTTGCTGGTAGAAGTGATTGGAGACATAAATATACTATGACAGAACTTATTAATAAGAGGAGACATCTCACTGTCACCATCTCGAACCTAAAAAAGAAAATATTGTTCAGCACTCTTCGCTGAAATGAAAAACAAAGAAACATATCAGATCATAAAAGCAGTAATATATGGATAAATTATAATCTTACAAGAACTGCTAAATAGCAAAAAAGGCAAAGAGTCATAACAGTAACTGGCACAGGTACTTCATTTATGAGATCTCGAAGGAAGGATGGGAGATATCAGCACAGAAGACCCCGTTCCCAACATACAGAGATATTAGGGGCACCAAAACATTATCTCTCTGAGCTGCAGCTGTAGTACAATATGGGACATGTGCTTCCAAAATGTCTTCTTTGCTTCTAAAGGGCCAGGTAAGGCACTCACTGGTCAAAAGCTGCAAGGGCTGAGGTGCTGTCAGATGAGGAGCTCTGAACACCTGCCAAGGTGCCCAGATGTTCCCAAAAGTTCTCCTGAAAGGAAAACAACTTTTTTTTCTTTTTTTTTTTCTGCTGTAAAACTGGCTGTAGCTGGGATTTCCCAAAACAGTCATCCCAGTGAGGTTGGTGCAAGGCTGGGAAGAGCCAGGATTTCCTCATTGCTACATAATCCCTGGCCCCCCTCAGCTGCCCTGGCCAGCAGCAGGGCCAGGGCTGCCCCAGGAGCGTTGCAGATTTCCC